GTTTTAGAAACTTAAAAACCATTTATGAAAACACTCATTTGATGCATGAAAAACATATTTTGTTTTGAGCCATGACGTAGAGAAATTGAATGAGCTTGTTACAATAAAACCTAAGTGTTTAGAATACGTCTTCAAAACGCCAATGTTGCCATCTTTAGCAGCGTCAATGCCTTTCTTGTGCTTTTTGTTTCTTCAAAGAACTTTTTCTATCTCTTTGAATCTTTTCATTTTGTTCCATGTTTCTCGACGGTTTGTGAATATCAAAACCTAAATGGAAACAAACATTGTCATTAGCAAAATGTCAAAGTGAAAATGTTTTCCAACAGTTGTGAACAAGGAAGTGAAAGAATGAAGGTAGGGCAGTAGATAGGATGAAGGAAAATGAGGGGGGAATGTTTTGGCCGAAATAACAAAGGGAAGGAACAAGGGTTATGGAAATGTATATGGTCCTTAGGGATGTTGAAACAACAAGCTCTGGTACCAAATGTTATATCTACGCTCGGGGTTTATCGGTACTACGCTTGAACTTGAGGACAAGGCTCTTTAATTTGCAGGATTGGAGGATAATCGATTGTCCAGGTTGGATAATCGATTGTCAAGGGGTTCGTTTTCTCATGAGAAACTCTCAGAATTTTCAGGGAGTGCTGATAGTTGATTATCAGACTATGATAATCGATTTCTGAGGACTGTGGGTGTTTCAAATGAGGACTGATAATCGATTGTCAAAGGCGACAGTCGATTGTTAAAGGTTGCAGGTGTTTCAATGGTGAATGACAATCGATTGTTACTAAGGTTAATCGATTATTTGGCAGAATTCTGGGCAGGAAGAGGAATGTTTTGTGTGGGGGAATGGCTGGGATAATATGGAATGATGAGGGAGTTCTTTTGGGTATTTTTTTAATGGAAGAAAAGAGTAAGATTAAGAGGAGAAATGGGGAGGTATGAAATGGAAGAAAATCAGGAGTTGATAAACCAAGTTGCTGTTTAAGAGATATTACACACTCTTAGCCTCACTTGGGGTGTGAATCTATAATTTAATTAAGATATGACACACTTAATCAAATATCTAAAACCTAAAACTCACACTTAAGATAACCACTCTTAAGATATAGAATTAGGAATTTGGCTAAAATAACATCACACTATTTTAATTGTAACGCCCTGCAACCCGGTCTAATAGAATTGATTATTTTAAATAATTAATTACTGTTCCGGACCGGAGTTGGGAAAAATAAAAGTTCTTAGAAAAATTATTTGGACATGTCATTAAATTCGTTTTGACTATCTGATTCTAGAAACGCAAACAGATTTCAATTCGGACCCGTTCGGGAGAAAAAGCGCGTACCGTTCAGGTCAGGTTTTACATAACGGAATAAGTTTAGGGAGGTAAACTCCCCATCTAATTCCCACGTTACTCACTCACACACATTCATGACTAATTAAGTTCTCCATCATTTGCCTCATAATTATTCTCAATTAAAAACCCCCAACCCATTCCCTTCCTCCATCATTTTTGTAACCCCCAATCCTTTACACTCTCAACCCACACTCTCTCTCCCCTTTGTTCGGCCAGCCCAGCAGACAAGGAAGACCTCCGGCGAAGCTTCGGTGGGTGCACGGTTGAAGGAGAAGAAGGAGAAGAAGAGCTAGGCCGTTCGTGCGAATCGTAGTCGTCGTTTCTCATCGTCTCCGTAGTTGCAACGCATCGTTTAGAGGTGAGTAGTTGTACCCTCTAATTCTAGAACATTTAGTCATAATCTATATCGTTATATTCATAGGATTACCCGGCTAAACATACGTGTGTCCACGTTATCATGACTCTTCGTTATTGGACCTCTTGATTAGGTACTCGTTGATATAAATGTTTTGAAACCCTGTAAGTTCATCGATTATTTAACATGGAAATGTAAACATTCATTCCTAAAACTTCCAACGTTTTGATGACAAACAAACAGATAAAATGGAAATCAGCGTGTCTTGATAATCAAGTTACAGGATAGTACAATCGACTATCAGGCCACGCTGAACTCCTCAGTTGTTTCAGCACAGCGTGATAATCGATTATCACATATGTGATAATCGACTATGAGGCCTTGCGGATTCTTGGGTCTGAGTTGGCTTCACTGATAATCGATTATCACATAAGCAATAATCGATTATCAGGCCTCTCTGAACTTAGGACTTCCCAAACAAACCAACTTGACAATCAATTGTCATAAGGTGACAATCGACTATCACAGTCTGTAGGACTTTGGGGACAGAAGCTCCACAGCATGATAATCGATTACCAACAGTAGACAATCGATTATCAGCCAGTTCTGAACCTAAGGCCATCATGTTGAACAAATTGTTTTCATACGGAATCAAACATATATGTATGCGTTGAATTTAACTTCATTCTTCAATCAATGCATTCATTTCATCATGTTCATCCTAAACGCATGTCCTAGGTTTATCATCATATGCATACCACTGTAGGGAGGTCAGGCTTTCGTGTGCCTACTACAGTGGGCCCGTCCAAGAACCTTTTGTTAGAATAAAGGTCTAACGCTAGAGTGGGGGGGGGGGGGGGG